AGTGTCCGAAAAATCGGAAACTAATACTAAATGGATGAAAAAGTAGTGGATTCGAAATCTGCAACAATGCACCTTGAAACAGGTTATCCTGAAGCACCGAGCTTTATTTAAGACTTTATTTCTTCTGCTAACTCAATAGTTTGTATTAATAACAGAAACTGATCTTGAAAGAGTTTTTCCTAAAACTTCCCTTTTTTATGTTATTTACAACATTTAAACTTAACTCTTTAAAGTTCACCACTTTATTAACATCACTAACATTATTAAGCGTATTTTTATGGATCTATTTAATTAGTAAGAACAGTAAGGTGATAAACAGCAGGAAGCTGATCTATAGATATGGAGCAAACAGACCTTCTGACCAGATCGTCTGAGCTGAAGTCGTGACTCAGGACCGGGAAAGAGAAGGTAGATCCTCACATGTCCGGATTAATCTGAATCCAGAGAAGGTCTCTGAATTACTATGTTTGTTCTTCTTAGTGATCAAGACAGTTTTAATTGCAGCTTAGCTTCATGTTTAGCCTCCGGCGTCACTCAGGGCTTTTAATGGCGGCTTTTAGGGAGGCAGCAGCCTTAAATTACAGCCATTAGAACATCTGCTGCTGCTACAGTCACTCTTTAAACCATAAATAAGTCAATAAAGTGGCTTCAGTAAAGTGTGTCAAACTCACTGCTTTACCACTGCCATGAGATATAGATGAGGAAACACAAACCAGACAGGAATTCATCCGCGTTGAGTCAGAGCAAACTCTTCTCCTATTGGCCGATCTAACCATGGCTGCCAGTGAGCAGCTCCTCTGTGGCTTCTCTGTTTAAAACAGCATCTGGGGTTTAAATCGATCCAGGTTCTGTGGATCCATGTGGTTCTCCTGATTAAATCAGCATCATGCACATCCTAAAAGCTTCCCTCCATGTTCCCATCATTCCTGCTCACAGAGGAATCAGAGTTCAACAGGATGCGTGTTTGGGTTCCTCTGGGTTCTGCTTCCTCCTGACCTTATGACGCATGCTTGTTCTGTGCTGATAGCGTTTCCATGTTTGGTTACCTGTCCCCCGCCTTCCCTTACTGGCTGCTTCCATCGGCCAGCAGCATCTCTGCAGCCAGGATACAGAAAAGGATCAGAGACCCGTCAGAGCAGAACCTGAACTGCAGAGACGCTCCAGCTGATGGCTGATTTCCTCTGATGTTTTTAAGCATTTGGGACTAAATA